ATAAGAGTCTAATTATAAATTTTTATAATTTATTATTAAGCCGTTGTTAAAATATTAAAGGGCGGTTTTTTGGGTTTTTTAGTGATTTTGGTGGGGTGGCCATATGCCCGCAATGGCCACATGCCCGCAGACTACGTTATAAAAAGATTATTATCTAATATACTATATCTAATTATCTATCTAAAAATAAATTTTTTATATATAATATATATATATAGCTGCCTAGATACTGCTTAATGCGTATAGTCTGTTTTAAATGCTGCGAAATGCTGTGAAATGCTAAAAATGCTAGCAAAATGCTGCTAAATTTTTTCCTAACGAAAGGAGAAGACGTTACCTTTTACGGAGCATTTAATATAGTATTTACAAACCATAAGGAGACTAAACGGAGCTCTTAAGGATACCTATTTATTCTATTTAGAGGACTAATTGATTAAAAAGCGACCCTATAATAATTGGTAACTTACTTAACTACTAAAGTGGAGCTTCTCTTCCTGTCTACTGCTGCTATTAAGATTATCTAGTGGCAACAATTCTTTAAGGCAATCGGCTTTAAGATAGAGCGCGAATTTACCCTACTATATAATAATATGTAGACTATCCGCCTGCTAAGACAGGATACACTAAAACTGGACACTAAGCTTTAATATATCGACGTATATTAGCACTGGCTTAAACAGGAAGTCTAAGATAAAAAGATTAACGTTTAATGGGTCCTAATAAACAAGATGCCTACTAACGGCCTTACTAAGGTCCTACCCCGTCAAAAGCATAAGGCTTAAATAATGCAATTGAATTTAGTAGATATTCGACATTAGATCAATTGATTCCATTTGCAATATCCGCAATATCTACGATATTCGCAATATCCGTCATAGTTACCCCATCCTTTTACTACTCCCAAATTGTATCTAAATTTCCTATTTTGGTATAATCTCTACCTTTATTTTTGTTTTCTACAGCTTTAACTACACTATTAAATCTAGGGGGGGTATATAACCGACTATTAGTACTACTTCAGAGACACTATTATATTACTTACTGTGGACCGTAATGATTACAGCTGCTTTAATTAGCCTAAAATGTCAATTACGGATATATTGAGGATAAGATTAAGGGGTACTAGTGACCTACCTTTGTTCGTGTATATATAGATACTTTAGAGCTACATTTACAATTAAGTCGTTCATACAATTCTTCGCACTGTAAAGCTTACAGTACTACTAGCTAAATATGTATAATATAATATAAAGGTACGTCTTTAGCTGCCATATTTACTAATAAGCTAAAGCTTTACATAAGACGTATAACGGCCTTCTAAAGCTACTGCTTATTCTAGACTAAAGATAGAAGGATACCTTAATTAACTTTATTATTAATCTCCCCGTAAGTAAAGGCTATATAAATATTATAGTAGTTATAAACCGACTGTCCAAAATGAGACACTTAATCGCCTGCCCCGATATATTAATACCTACTATTGCCTAACTATTCCTAGATTACGTATAGAAACTCTACAGACTCCCTAAAATAATTATCTCCAATAAAGGCAGCTAGTTTGTCTCTATATTTTAGAAAGAACTAACTACCTAACTCTATATTAAAGCACTATTATTTATAGTATACTACTTAAAAACAAATGGCTAAACGGAATGTGTAAATACTCTAATGGAATAGTATATTCGGATATATACGTTATACTTATAAAATAACTAAATTAACTGGCTTGCATTTGCCAAGTTTACTATAAATAATGGTCAACGATAATCATACACCCCCTAAATGATACGCGTACACCCCCCAATTGATACACATACACCCCCCAATTGATACGCGTACACCCCCTAATTGATACATATACACCCCCTAATTAATACGCATACACCCCCTACCCAAACAAGCTTAGATCCTCCCACTTCAAGTTAGAACATCACGTGCGTTTAACTTATTTGCGCTTAAATTGCGAAAACCAAAGTGCGCCATATAAGTTTTATAACTGCAATATTACGATTAAGTCTTGATTTTAGTTATAGTATAAGTAGTAGAGTCTAAATTTGGATCGCGACTAAGTCGATTAATTAGATTGCGTAGTGCTTTATAAGGCGTCGCGCAAACTGATTTAGGTGCTGCTTCGCGCCCACGCACCTACGCACCCACGCGCGCCCGGTGGGACTCAAATTAACACTTCTGCTTCGCATCTAAGGGCCTGCAATTGTAGAGCGTCGCGGCAGTCGGCCAATTAACCCTATAACCGGCTCTACAATTGCAAATCGCGTCGACAGATCTATTCGTAGAGAGCCCTCAGCATTTGAGCGAAATACTAGCTATACTATACTTTGATTTTCGTGATGCAGGCGCAAACAAGTCAAACGCACGTGATATTCTAACTTAATGAGGAAGCATCTAACTTAATGGGGAGGCGTCCAAACTAAATAAGGTAGGGGGTGTATGCGCATTAATTGGGGGGTGTATATGTATCAATTAGGGGGTGTACGCGTATCAATTGGGGGGTGTACGTGTATTAATTGGGGGGTGTATGCGTATCAATCGGGGGGGGTGTATGTATATCAATTGGGGGGTGTACGCGTATCATTTAGGGGGTGTATGATTATCGTTGACCTAAATAATTCCGTCTTAAAAACTATAAAGGTCTCCCTATTTCTAGCTAACTACGGCTAGTATCTATAAATGGGTTTTACACCCTTTAGTAATATTCCTTGCCCCATATACTATGCCCTATAAGTTATAAAAGTAAATAAATTTATAAAGAAGATAGAGGAACTATAATAGTTCTTTACTAATAAAATAATATAGGCTTAATCTATTTATAAAGCCGCAGCAAATAAGAAATAAACCCTAGTACTAGCTTACTAAATTAGTAACTTTGTCTAGCTAGATATAAAAAACCTAAATATAAAACAACCTATTAAGAAGCTTAATTAGAAGAACGTTAGCCCTTATAAGGTCGGGAAGGTTATCTCCTCCTATACCTACTAACTAAAGCTCCCTAATACGGTTAAAATCCACTCTATATTCCACATGTTAGTCCTTTACCCTACTACTTTCGTATTAAACGCCCTACCCAAATAGATATAAGACCCTCCCCTACTAGTTAAAGTAGATAGTAAGAACGAGTACTTTATTAAAAGAATTAATAATATTAAGTATAATAAACGGAAACGCTAATATATATATCTTACGAAATAGAGAGGTTTTATTAAGCCCTTATAGGAACCTATTAACTCTATAGGACTTATATAAGCTATAGAAGACTTTTATAAACTCCACCTAGAACTACTATAGCCCTATCTCGCAGAAGCTTAAGTTTAAAGGGGGGGTACTATTATAGGACACCCTTGTAACACCTTATATATATTTACCTATTTCTACTAACTTAGTAACTAAAGACTAACCATAAGATAGCAATCTAATGGTAACCTACTACATTCTGCTATATTCCACTAAGTTCTACTAAGTTTTACTAAATCCTACTAAGTTCTGCCAGGACTACTACAGTTAAAACTAGTTAGTACGATACGGTTTGTACAGCCGAGCGTATCGTTATACCAATGGTATTGTTATATAAAAAGTCACGTGTTGGGTTAATAAGCAATAAAAGGGGGGTCTCTATACTTAAAAAGGCTTAAGGCGTCCACCTTACCGGCTAAATTAGGCTCCCTCCCATACAAAATCTCTACTGGTTATACCGATTCCGGTGTAAAGAACTTAACGATATCGTAAAAAGTCAGATTATTGTAAAATACACCCAAAAAATTTTAATCAAGCCTTGTAGATCGTAATATAGAGTATATCGTTGTAACTAGGTATCGCATTAAAGAGTTCTAACCGCACCTAAATCCTATTTTACTCTATATACGTATTAACTAAGCAACTAAGTTCACAATATATACCCTTTCTTCCCGTTTTCCTACCTTCTCTCCTTATATAAAGTTTTAACTTTCTTATATAGTATATATATATAGCTTAATAATATTTACCTTACTATATATTATCGCCGCTTATACTTACTTCGTGACAATTAGTAAAGGTATATTTATTTAAATACTAAAGCTCTATACTATATTAGGCGGCTAATAACGTTATATATTACTAGCTGCTAAATAGATATTAAGGCTTTAATAACGACTTTTTAGAATAGCTAATAGAGCGTTATTAAACTATATAGTATATAATATAAGATAAAAAATTTATTAATAAAAATATATAAATATATAAAAAGGCTAACGTGTTTTACTACTAAGCGAGCAGCACTACCGAGCGAGTAACGTCAAAACTTACCAAAAATTAGAAAAATCGAACTTTAATATCTCAACAACCACTTAATAATAAATTCTAATAATTTGGATTTAGACTTTTATATACACTCTATAGCTTCTATTAAAGTTGCATTATAAATAGGTTAGTATTTTTTAAGATATAGTAATTTGGCCTTATTTAGGGGCCAAAATAAGGCTAAATTACTATATCTTAAAAAATACTAACCTATTTATAATGCAACTTTAATAGAAGCTATAGAGTGTATATAAAAGTCTAAATCCAAATTATTAGAATTTATTATTAAGTGGTTGTTGAGATATTAAAGTTCAATTTTTCTAATTTTTGGTGAGTTTGGACGTTGCTCGCTTGGTAGTAGTGCTCGCTTAGTGGTAAAACACGTTATATAAAGTATAATTTTGTAAAATTTATTTTATAGAAAGCTTAAGTTATTACTTAATAAGCCATATTAAGTTTTTTTATATAAATAGCTATTATAGCTATTAAGATATAAGCGTTTAAAAAAGATATATTTTAATTTTTTTGGTAGGGCTTAGGCGGTATACACGAGGTAGGACCGTGTATAAGGCGGCACTGACTTCTAACAGAAGAGCGCCGTGGACTGCGTCTAATACTTATAGATATAAATTTACTAAAGATTCCTTTAAGTCTAAAATGTTCCACTGGCGCAAGTAAGAGATTTTACCTCGTTAATATATAACTAATTAACTTTATAATAGTGGTAGCGCGCCAGACTTCTATTTATACATCATTTAATCTGGAGGCTGTGGGTTCGATCCCCACGTGGAATGTTTTTTTTTTCGTAGGGTTTTCGTGATATATATATTTTAGCCCCTAAAATAACCACAATATGGAGGACCGCTTATCCGCACCGTCCGCTAAGCTGATTTAGGACGGTAATCGTTTTCTTAGTCTGAGGCCCTTTGGCGAGATTTATAGAAAACCTAAACACCATTTACAGTGGTGTTCACGACCAGCTTCACCCCCCCTTAGCGAGCGCTGCGAGATTTCAAATTCGCTACGCGCATCCAACCTCGCTTGATTGCCACTAGCTGTACGTAGTACCTGTAGCGAACGGCTGTGGCCACACGCAAGGACCTTTTTGGTTGCCCTTAAAGACGTACGCTTCCTCTTCTCCCCCTTCTCCCCCATAACTACGCCTCCCTTATGGCCGCCAAAACGCGAATAACAACGCTGTCTCTGCAGAGAGGTCGATGAAATTTGGCAATATTATACGGGTGGAAACCTTCATGATATCTGATGAAGATCACGACACTGCGGGATCGCGGACGTTCTTGCAGCCAAGCATACGGCTTCGCTACAATTACTATGTACAGCTGGCGGCAATCAAGCGAGATTGGATGCGCGTAGCGAATTTGAAATCTCGCAGCGCTCGCTAAAGGGGGGGGGTGAATCTGGTCGTGAACATCGCTGGATATAAGAAGACCTTATTAACTTTAACAAAATTGATCTACCCTCCTATAACACTTATCAACATAAAAATTACACCAAATTATAGAGAAAAGCCTACTCTATAAGTTATGCGATCTTTAGCCCCTTATACGCGCGCGACGTTAGGAGGAATTCGTCGCCGTAGAGGCCCTAATTCTACCTCTGCACCGCTAAGCCGCGCAGTAAACACCAATGCTAAACGCTTACGCCTACGTTGCCAGCCCCCTTTGTAACCAGTAGGTATTCCATCTAGTATATACCTATTTAATTTATTTACTTTGTAGCCCTTTGTAGGTTATAGTGTAGGCCCTAATAGAGTTGCAAGCTCTGCGTCTACGTAGAGCCGTAGAGCTTTGCGAGAGCTCTGCGGAACGAAGCTCAGGGGGAGACCTGCACAGAGCTCTGCACGGAGCTCTACCAAAGCTCTGCAAAAGCTCTGCACGAAGCTCCGCACGAAGCTCCGTAAAAGTTCTGCTCGAAGCTCTGCTCGAAGCTCTGCTCGAAGCTCTGCTTGAAGCTCTGCTCAAAGCTCTACTCAAAGCCCTATATAGAGCTCTAAAGCTCTACTAACACGCAGCACTAATATACTAGGAATGTTCTATAATCGCCCGTACGAACTCCCGTACGAACGCCCATACAATCAATTGATCAATTGCCCATACAATCGTCTCTACAAACATCTCTGCAATTGATCGCCCGTACGAACGTCTGCACGTCTGCACGTCTGCACGTCTGCACGTCTGCACGTCTGCACGTCTGCACGTCTGCACGTCTGCACATCTACACGTCTGCAAGCCTGCACGTGGCTCTGCACGAAGCTCTGCATTAAGCTCCGCACGAAGCTCCGCACGAAGCTCTGCACGAAGCTCTGCACGAAGCTCTACACGCGGCTTTGCACGAAGCTCTAGTAAGGCTCTGCATGAGGCTCTGTCCAAAGCTTACCCCCTGGTAGTAGCAGAGGCACTCCGGGCCAAGGGAGGATATTTTCAAGGAAGGACCCAACTACAGCACCTTCTAGGTGTTGCAATAGCTTTAAGTAGTAGATATCTATATATCTGTATAGTTTTGTCTATATTAGTAGACTATTTAATAAGATATAATATATGCTTACGCTTTTAACAATACGTTTTTTAACTTTAACGAAATTAATATGAGGACTAAGCTATAGCCGTATTATAAAATCTTTATCTCAGTCCTAGACGATTAACCAATTATAAGCTGCTTACATAACAGATTAATTATCTTATATTATTATCGTCTGGTATTATCTTGGTCCTAGATAATCAACCAATTATAAGCTGCTTACATAACAGATTAATCATCTTATATTGTTGTCGTCTGGTATTGTCTCGTTCCCAGACCTTCTTGCCAAGGCTTACCTTGCCAAGCCGCTAGCCGCTTTTGGCAAGACCTTCGTTAGAAGATCTAGTACACGGTTTGGATTTTTATTAGTCCCGCGTGGGGTATTTAGGCCTATATATACCTACTTTAAGCCAAATTGTCTTAACTTTTATAGCTCCCTAAGCTATTCCTAATAGCTAGAATTACCAAATTAAACCTAGTGAAGAAGACTATGTTGCCCAATTTGCCCAATTCCAATTTATTATCTTATTGTCGCGCCTAACGCCACTAAGTTATAGCAGCCGCACCTTTTCTATAACCTCTTCCTACTGTAGCCAGAGTACCTAAACCGACGAGCTAGCTTTAAATAATAACTAAGGACTACTAGTAGGTATAGATTTGCTTTATAGAATGGGGTAAGCTTTAGGTAGAGCCTTGCGTAGAGCTTTAAAGTAGAGGCTTACGTAGAGCCCTACGCAGAGCTCCGCGTAGAGCTTTGTGTAGAGCTTCTACAGAGCTTCGTATAGAGCTTCGTGTAGAGCTTCGTGCAGAGCTTCGTGCAGAGCTTTATGTAGAGCTTCGTGTAGAGCTTTATACAGAGCTTTATGCAAAGCCTCTATACGTAGAGCTTTGTATAGAGCTTCGTGCAGAGCCTCTATACATAGAGCTTTGTGTAGAGCTTTGTGCAAAGCCTTATATAGAGCTTCGTGTAGAGCCTTGTGTAAAGCTTCGAGCAGAGCCTTATACAGAGCTTTAAGGAGCTTTAAGCAGAGCTTTAAGTAGAGCTTTAAGTAAAGCTTTAAGCGGAGCTTTATGTAGAGCCTTATATAGAGCTTTATATAAATATATAGGCGTATAGATATATATTTTTATACTAGTAATTAATTATAGAATTTATAGAAATAATTGTATAGGAAATTATATAGTTATTTATTTATTTATTTATAGTAAGGCTAATAATACTATACGGCTCCTAGATCTAGGGCCTAGGACTAGGTAGTAAGGTATTAATAAAAAGCTCCTTAACGCTATTAGCTAAGCTATAAAACTAGTACCTATATAGAACTAGAGGGGTTTATTAAAGAATACTACGCGCTATACTAGAATATAAAGTAGTAGTTCTACTAGTAGACTTATATATTAATATAACTACTATATAGAGAATAGTTATAGTATAAGGCTACNTAGTAAAAGAAAATATATNCTAAATACTAAAACGTATNTAAGGATTNAGGGCCCCTTAAAAAGGNAATACGCCTAAGTATACTAGCTAGGAAGCCCTCTACCTATAGGTAATAAAGAAAGAAAAGAAAATATAGGAACTACTAGCTTACTAGGTGGAGACCTAGCGCTATACTAGTAGAGCACTACTATAGTAATAGAGGATAAGAGGTTATTAATATAGATAGAGATCTACTATACTTATTANAAAATAGGTAGACCTTAAATAGAAGCGATAATAGAAGGAGGTAGTAAAAATATAAGACGTAGCTATATAGAATACCCTATAGTTAATACTAATACTCTTCCTATATAAAGGACTAATAAAGGTAAAATCTATATCCGCCTTTCTACTATAGATAGAGATTTTAAGCCTAAATATATAGCTAGTAAGTATCTATATTCTAAATACTATACCTTAATACACTTATAGATAGCCTATTTAGTTAGTATACTATATACTACTTTTCTATAGCTACTACTTAGTAAGGTACTAGCTATTTACTAATATAGGTATAAATAATATTACTTATACTCTCTATAAGTAGTGGCCTATAAGTAGTATTAATATAGCTTATAGGCTAAGGAGTTTTTTAGTAGTTTTAAATAGTATATAAGATCTAATAGGAGGACACTAAAGGATATACCCCTTTTAGTCCCTTAGAGACTAAATACCGCTGCCTAGCTGTAGATAGTACGCTAATAAATTACTAGATACTCCTACTACCCCCCCTAGATCTTCTAATATATCTAAAAAGTATAGTATATAAGGTAGACCTAATAATATAAAGATATATTAGTTTAGTAAAGATAGAATATGTAAAACTAACTAAAAGGAAATACTTAGGATTTTCCCTTTATAGGGCCTTTTCCTATAAAGGGAAAACCCTAAGTATTTCCTTTTAGCTAGTTTTATATATTTTACCTTTACCAAACTAATATATCTTTATATCTTTAGGTCTACCTTATATACTATATTTTTTAGGTATATTAGAAGAGTTAGGGGGGGGTAGTAGAAGTATCTAGTAATTCGCTAGCGTACTACCTATAGCTAAGTAGGGATATTTAGTCTTTAAGGGGCTAGAAAAGGGAGTACCCTTTAGTATCCTCCTATTAGATCTTATATACTATTTAGAACTATTAAAGAACTTCTTAACCTATAAGCTATCTTATTACTACCTATAGGCCTCTACTTATAGAGAGTATTTAGGTAATATTGTTTATACCTATACTAGTAAGTAGCTAATCCCTTACTAAGCGGTAACTATAGAATAGTAATATATAGCGTACTACAGTCAAAACTCTTTATAACGATGCGGGTCGTATAGCCGACCGTATTGTAATACTAATGGTATTGTTATATATAAAGTCACGTGTTAGATTAATAAGTAGGAAAAAGGAGGTTAATACGTGGCCGGGTAATTTAAAAGGGTGTAAGGCATCTACCTTATAGGCTAAGTAGGGTCCCTCCCATGCAAAATCTCTACTGGTTATAACGATTTTGGTAGGGAAAACTTAACGATATTGTAAATAGTCAGTATATTGTAATATTATACTAAAAAAACTTTAATTAAGGGGTGTAGATTATAATATAGAGTATATCGTTGTAATCAAATATCGTACTAAAGAGTTTTAACTGTAACTAAATAGGCCACCTATATATATATTAAGATAAGGTATTTAAAATATAGATACTTATTAGCTATATTTAGGTCTAAAACCTCTATCTATAGTAGAAAGGCGACTATAGATTTTACCGTTATTAGTATTAACTATA